TGTGTCTTTCTAGCGCAGATCAAAGTACATGGTACTAAATTGACACTCACAGTGTTAAGCAGACCTAGTTATCACTTGCCTTCCTTAATGAAAAGGCACATTAAATGTTTCAAGTGTCTAAATTGTTCTGTGCTTGTTTTCAATCATACAAATGTCCTGTAACTAGATAGTTTGAATAATGCCTTTTCATGAACTGCTCAGGACAATAGCTTTTTAAATATGGAAATGCGATATATGTATACTAGAAATTAAAAATACCCAGGCATTTTAAAACTGACTACTGTGGTAAGTGCATTTAGTGGGGGAAGAGGAAGGTATTTTCTGTTGCATAACTCTTTGTTCATGAAAATTTCCATACACTTTTTAAACTATTGAATAAAAGTTTGCTATAAATGCTGTTGCGTTCAAAAATGTATTTAATCCTAAATCAAGAATCTCTTATTCATGACCCAGTGTTGTCCCTTTTATTCCAATATCTTTAAAGGTCTCTAACTTCAGCATTGCCAGTTACATACATTGTATCCCTCTCTTGACAGCTATGAGTGAGCTCTTAAGCTTTTGTGTAGAATTGCAAGTATTGCTGTAATAATGAGGTTGAAGGTCTAGATTTTTTCATGTGTGTCCCTGAGACAGTATTTTGGTTTCTGAAAGTAGAAGCAAGTTCCACTTGAGGTTTAAAGAGAAGTTTTAAAATCTGTTTGAACATAATCCAGAAGAGTGCTCCCAGGTCTAGGTATTTTAGTATTAAGAAAGAATGCAGAATTATGAAAGTACCTGATAAAGCTACTGCAGTAAGAACATGAAGATATGGTGGTACAAATAGAGAAAAAATATTTGTGAGTTTACAAAAACTAGATCTTAATTAAGGAAGAGAGATTTATACTTAAATACACTTTTTAAAGGAGCAGACCAAAGGAAGGGTTTTTATTTGCCTAAGTGGTTTTATTTATTAAATTGAGGATTGTAACAACTATTTCAGGTGTCATACGTGTATATGTTATATCAATCCTGCAAGGCAGCTAATACAATGTAGCATATTAGGAAAAAAAGTCTGTGGTTCAAAAAATGTTACCTATTGTCAAGATGAAGAACTTGAAACAGTATTTCTAAAACAGGAACTGTCTTTATTCAGCTGATTTTAATGACTTGGTTAAATGTAATTAGTGTTCTGTCGTAGATAATTTTAGCAGGAATGTTGCTATAAACGACTTTCTACAACTGCAAGCATTCCTTCTGCTTTTCAGTGGGCTTATAGCTACTACAAATTCACTATCCATGTGGGCTAAAGCCTCTGGCTTCTGTCCTGTAAATTTTATAGTGCTTTTATGTGCAAAACATGCAGCATTTTGGAAACATTAGGATGATAGTATGACTTGCTTTAGTGGTGGTCTTATTTGGTTTTCTATTTAAACTTGTTTAATTTAAGAAGTGAAGCTTCTAAAATTTTCTTCACTTCAGACTTGTAGAGATTAGAGGCTTGTGCTATGCAGTACAAGCTATTTAATTTGTTGGGTTTTTTTTCTGTAGGGAGGTTAAACGGAGGACCAATAAATTGAACATGCAAGTGTAGACTTACAATTTTGTTTACTACAGCTGTCCTTGTCCTTCTGTGAGCTGATAGTCTTTATTAAATATCTTAAATCTTGTCTTATAATTGACAAGTTCCTCTGCAGTTTTGTGTACAGCAAAATTAAACTGTTGTTACAAAGCAAGCTTAGGGTTCAGTAGGCTTTGTACTGCTCAAGGCTCAGGCCAGAAAAGCTGAGGGATTACATTGCCAGGTCTGGGATATATTAAAGGTGCTGGCATGGATTTGTGACTGGTACCTTACAGCTCTCTACTTCAGTGTATTGAGCAAGCTGGCCTTTCCTAATATTTGTTGGCTGAAAGATGGATTCTGTTGCATCTGAGCAAAAATACATTAAGACAAGTAATTTGCTAGAATTTCTCATTTGTACAGTGTAAAACCAGAAGCAGATTAGGATGCTGCATGCAATTTCTAGGTGGTTTTGTTCAATGATTAGTATACTTTGTAATAATCTTGGGTGAGATCAAGCCATATTCAGAGCCAGGAAGTTGCATTGTTCATTATGTCTGTAAGGAAGCTAATCCTAGGGTTTAGCCAGGCTGGAAAGCAAATAGTTTGTGTAAGAGGCCCGTGTGAGAATTTATGCTGTTATTAGAGAAATGGAAATCAAGCAGGACTGGGGCAAAAAGCTTTTGAGGTAAAAAGGAAGGGTTACATTTTCTCAGTGCTGCAGGGGCCCGGCTGTGGACTTCCTGTCCCAGCCCATTCTTCCCATTTTGTACAAGCCTCATTCTGTAAAGCAGGTGCTGCATGGAGCAACCCACAGAGGCAGCTAAGTGGGGTGTGCTGGGCACTGGAGCTGAGACAGATCTGGCTTGGGTAAGGGGGGGAAGGCACTTCCAGCTCTGCTGCTCTGGCAGGTGCAACACAAGCCTGCACTGTGACTTCTTGCAGGTGGCAGTGCTGTCCCTACTCCATAACTCCCCACCTCCTCTTGGTGCCAATGTTCTGGGCAGCATCCTTTCCTCTCCCCAAGTGCAGGAGGGAGGCAAAAGCACATCTTCTGCTCTGCTGTTTGTTTGTTATGACCATAAAAAATAGATGATACGGTAGTGCTGCTCTAGTTTACACCAACATCCTCTATCAGTCATGCCATTAACCATTTGTTAAAATGAAATTTAAAAGCACAAGAACTACACATGCAACAGAGTTTAAAAAAACAAACTTTATTATTATTATGTCAAAATAATTTGTATTTATACACAAGGAAATGATTACAAACTTAGAAGATTTTGCTTTAATAATCTGATGTGTATTAGTACTTGGTTCCTCAGCTTGCACTGTGCAAGGCATTTTAAAAACAGTTCATATCCTCCATGTGTTTTAATCTGAATTTATAGCCAGTTCTAAATGCTCCATCTACCAGAAATACTTTGCAAACAGCACATACTTTGTGCAGTTAAGTCATAACAAAGCCATTCCTGACATGTACATGCTTGTCCTCAGTTGGACTGACACGGCACCACTGCAGAAGTGGCTCACTTTGTTGTAAGCTTCCAAGTGCTAGAAGAGGTGTGCACTGGAGAAGAGCAAGTGAAGGTACATGCCCCTTCTGCATTTGCTTTTTTATTTCCAGGCAGTTTTGTGTGAAATAGTTAATTTCATAAAGCCTTACATAACTGCATAATGAAAAGGCAAGGAAGACAATGTAATGTTTGTGCTGAAATCCTTTACATCAGTGTTTTTTTAATCTCTCTACAAGTACCCATTATGTTTTGGACCCACTGGTTATTGTAGAACTCAGCTCATGTTTCCAACAAGTTGGCAGTTGCTTGGGGACCTCAAAGGTAGTTTTATTTTCTAGTTCTTGTCTAAACTACTGAGAGAAAGCGAATGATTGTTAATTGCCAAAATCAGTCTTGCAAGTTCAGGACAGAAGTGTAAGAACTGGCTAGGGGTGTTAGCACATTTCCTCTGGCCTGGATAAATGGCCCTGTTTTCAACTGTGCTGAGCAGATAGTGGTCTCCTGAATATTGTAAGCTCTTCCTTTAACTTATTGGAATCTTCTTCCAGGCTTCTCTGTGATCATGATACTTTTATAGATCCTTTATAACTGAATGACTGCATTCTTTCCAAGTTATGTATCATCATGATTTAGTATTACTATTTTTTGGTGGAATACCACTGAGAAGTTCTGCAGGAGTCTGTTCATAGGATGGGTATCAGTGGCTATAAGCAGCTCATCAATTATAAAGCACATGCTATGTCTGTCTGCATTTTTATCCTATGCTGTGTTCATGTGAAGTCATTGTAGTTGCTTTCCTAGAAGTTTCATTGTCTAAATGGTTACCACTTTACATTGTTTTGCTTTTTCTACCTAATCTGTTTTAGGGGAAGAGAGTCACAAAACTTAGGGAGATCAGAACAGTATTGGCTGTCAAACTCTTTAACAAAATCAACACATGGGAGTGGTCCTTAACATGGTGTTATTTTCACACGTCTGCTGTGCTCTGCATTCTAGAACCTAATACTCAGGATAACTTCTGCTTAAAGATCTTAAGGGAAAAGGTGAAGAGTCAGTGCTGAAACTGATTCTTAGGTTTGGCAGTCTCACCAGTTTGCACTGGAGCCCTGGGCATGTCACTTGTCCTTTCTGTTAATTTCTCTTTATGCAACAGAGAGGATAGGATCTACTATGGAAGGCTATTTTGAATAGCATTTGTAAAGTGCTTTGAAGTTTAGAAGTGCTGTTCAAGTGTTCATAAATTATGCTGCATTCGTGGCAAGATGATTAGATTTATGATTCTGATTTTGTCACCTCATTTCAGGGTTCTTAAAAAAATAAAGATCTACAGTTAAGAATTGTTATCACAGCTGTTCACTAAAAGAAACATTTAAGTCAAGTACCAACTTAACTAGAAAACAAGAAGGATCTCTGGGACAAAACAGAGATGTCTGTACATAGTCCTTAATATATGGAAAATTATAAATATTCAGTATGGCCTCTGCAAAATGTAGGTTTAGGCTGAACTTCACACTCTGCAAGATGCAAATTTCCTGACAGTTCTGCATGAAAATCCATTTCAAGAACTAAGTCACAGGCAAGGTCCACACATCTTGTGTAAACTTACACAAACACTCTGCTAGCTGCAGAACAGTAAGTGTACTTATGGCAGGTGTAAGTATTGCCTCCAGTCTCCTTTATGAAAAAACTGTTTTTTAGTTTAGGAATTTTAGACAGTTTGGGGGCTTCACTGTTAATACAGGCCGTTCATGATAAACACAGTGGACCGTATCTTCAGCTGGCACAAACTGCAATGGCTTCAGCAGAATTGCCAGTGTCTTCTGGGTTGCTAAGCTTATCTCTGTCACTCAACTTAGAGTGATACAGGATGTATCACAATCCACACCTGGCATTCTCAAACTTGAGAAAGGGAAAGTGGAAAAAGTATCATCCTACCTTATTTTTTCCTTCATGCTGAAGCACCATTAATCTCAATTGCCAGCCTATTTCCATAGTTAAGAGCTAGCTTTAGTCAAGTGCTAAAAAGAGACTGGGTATTGAGTGGTACCAATTTAGTGCTTATTGCTGCAGGGCCACTTGGAGATTGTGTTGTGTTATCTGTGTGTGTGTGATGTAACAACCTCTGCCACTGCATGTCAGATTAGGAATCCTGGGTATGTGGATCCTTTGTTCAACTATCAGCACTCTCTATGCTGGATACTTCTTCAGGTACCAGCAGAGCCAAGTCCTCCCCATTCCAACTTGTGCACAGAAGCCAACTGTAAGACAAAGACAAGAGAGGTATCTAGCTGAGATAGTTCAACACAGCATGCTGATTCAGCACCAACAAACACACAGGATAGCTCTGTGCAGCCACCCTCTGTGATGCTGGTGATGTGTCTTAGTAAACAAAAGCAATGCCCTAATTGCACAAGTCAGACAATATCATTACTGCTACCTTTGAGCACAGTACTAAACTACTCTGCTGTAAGAGACTGGGAAAACTACCCTTTCTGTTCTCCAACTGTAACACTGCATGACACTCTAAAAAGAAAGGTGCAGAGAAAGCGTAGTCAAAGGGTCATATATATCTGAAACCAATGACAGAAGATAAAGAAACAAAAAACTTTCAGAAATTTATGGTGATGATGTACTACAGCACTGACTGCAAGATGGACTGATTGCTGGTAAATATCCGTTACCTCTTCTGCAATAGATTTTGCTTTCTTAATATACACTTTCTCTACTTACACTGAACTAAACTAAAGATAATACTTAATAGAACAAGTACTTTGCCTTTGTTAATATAACTGAATTTCTCAATTATTTTTTTTACTTTACTGGAAAGTATTCTACTCACACGTGCAAGATGCCTTTGCTTCAATTCCCTCAGGTGTAAGACCCATCACTACCTTAAATTACCATTAGTATAGCTTCTTTGTAAAGACTGTGCAAATAATTATAATGAAGCAGGAACAGACTTGAAATTATGTGAAATGTTCTAAATCTACAGCATTATCACTGCCTATTTAAATCTTAAAATGCAGCTGATGCAGTAATAAAAGGTGACTGAGGTGAAGTCTAAGTATTAGGAAAAAATATCTGTCCCCAGCCAGAGTGAAACCCTCTTAAGAAAAATATCTTTCCCCCCTCAACTGTAAATCTATCTAATGAAAAGTGATTTTTCTGTCATTTAGATTTTTGTTTAAGCACTCTAAGAAGAAGTAATTTATACTGGAAATAATGTTAAGTGATCTTTGCTTTATGAATACTCATGAATGGTATTTCACTGTCCGTATTACTAGATGGTCACTAGATATGATTAGACACAACTGCAATAGAGGCCTATTTTTTAAACATGTTTAGAGGTTTATTCTTTTGGGCTTTAAAATCTTTTACAGATTTTAATGGCACTGGGTCACAGAGTACCCATGACCAAAGACCAGGACAGAAGGCTTTCCATTAATCTCTAACGTCATGTTTATAACCCTCATTAGCATCTAGAAGAGCTCAGATTGCCAAATTAAGCTCATGCTTTTCATGTAATCAGTGGGAAAGTCTTTCCTGGAAGAAAGACCATGTAAAGGTCTCAAACCAAGAGAAGGCATTCATGCAGTCAAGGCTATGGTGCATCCCACTGGCAGTACATTCAGGATAGGCTTCAGTTTGGGGGAAATTCACAGCACAGAGCTGAGGGCAGGTAGCTGGATCAGGGAAAAATTGTGAAGCACTACAGTACAGTAGCAGATAGGAAAGTTTGAGAACTACCACACTGAACTATTCAGCTTCAATTCATGTCAAAATATAAATTACTGGCAAAGGCAGTCAGAAGAACCCTCCCAGCCCATACTTACCACAGGACAGACAGTGGGATTAGACAAAGGCCTGCCGATAGGAGGAAGCTAAAGCCTGAAAACCATGCAACAGTAGTTGCATAGATAATATTAAAAACTGAAATTGACATAGTGCCGGTCACAACTTCTAAACAGGCAATACAAGCAAACACAGCACCTGCCAAAAATAAATGGGCGAATTACAAACAAAACAAAATAAAAAAAATCTCTTCAAAGTACAGAAGCTTTCAAACATGGTTCAAAAGATACGTCTGTTGGCAGGAATTTTGCAAGTATGCAAGCTACAAGCACTAGAGGATCATACTTTACTATGAAAGTGCCTCCTGAGGCAACTCCTCCAAAATGCTAGCTTTTTTAAATGAACAAAAAAAGAACAAATAAACAACACATTTTGTTGATAGAAACTTTTTCTTCACTATTATTCTGTCACCATGCCTCCTTTCTTGCATTTGCTTATAACATGATGTTTGACCTGTTTATTCTCACTAACCATGTTGTGCACATCTCCATCCTTTACCCCTTCCAGTTCTTCTTTTTTCTTACTTTTCCCTTTCTTGTTTCTTCCTTCTCTAATCTTCACTCTTATATGTGGAAAAGACTGATTCAACAAGGAACTGCTGGTTCAGCTTAAAACCACTGCCTTCTCGTTTTTGAAAAGAAACAAACAATATTTTTTGGACTGAACTAGCCTTTGGAGTGGCAGTCTATCCTGTCAGTCTTGTTGAACACATTTTCCCAAGCTGCACTCATAGTCATAGGACCATAACCAAAATCACACTAGGTAAGCAGGAAAGGATGACAAGAGGCAACCTGATTGCTGCATCAAACTATTCAAGTAGCCAAAGCCCTGAAGAATGCCAAGAAACGCAATACCAGAGGTGTATTTTAGCACAGCTAGTATAAAGAGATCTTTGTTTTAGTGCATGAAGATTAATCTTTTAAAAAATAAAACTAATCAACTCAGGAAAATGTTTCTAGAAAGTATATATTTCTGAAAATCTAGAAAATACACACACCCCAAAAGCAAAATATAGGATATCAGAGCCATATTTTGAGGCCTGACATGCTTTTTTCTGTGTTCCATAAGAAAAGGACTTTGAGAAGTATTATGTGATATTTATTGGGACGTGTTTGGGAGCCACAGGCCTGAAGCTGGGTTCCTGCTGTATAGCTAAGGATCCAAGTCTAATTGTTTCCAAATGCTATGAAGATCGACTACCTACTGCTTACCTTTCTAAATTAGCAAGTGAGAAACTGACTAAATAACAGAAACATCTTTCTCTGCATGCCAAAATCATGTGAATATAGAAGCCCTTGTGAAATCACACTTGTATAAATCTTGAGCACTCTTTTGCTGCAAGTCCCCCATGGTCTTTAATTTAAGAACAGTATTTTGTTTGATAGTTGAAACTTGCAGTAGTTTTTAACACAATGTTGTTTATATTATATTCAGAACCAGAAGCCATTAATGTCAAGACACAGACTCATATTATACAGAACTTGAAAGAAAAGCAGTCTTAAAATAGTGTCTATTTGTTTAAAGGTAATCTTGCATCTCTGTTTTGAAGCACCATATTATTTTATTGTTTAAAAACAATTCTACTTACCCTGTTCACTAGTGAGAACCACTTTTGACAGCATGGATCGGAGAACAGGAATAGGCATAAAGCAGAACAAAGATGGTATTCTCACTGTAAAGCAGCCATGAGACATTGAAGTAATTAAAATCCATGATTTCACAAATATATTGCAATTATATTAGTCATATACTTTTAAACACTTAGTTCCCCAAATAGAAAAAGGTAACAGAAAAGTCAGAGTTATCCATGAACATAGAAATTAATAAATCAAATATATTTCTGTGGCATGAAAACCAAATCATAAGCAAGTAATTCCATTGTTTCTCCATACGGTTCATATTTTAATCAAATCCTAGATCAGTCTGAGTAGCCATTTACATTTTACCTCTCTGTGACCCTTTCAAGGTGGTACATTCAATATCCAACACCTGCATTCACTACAGACAACACAGCAGTATTTTCATATACATTGTTGACCATGGAACAACTGATTCGGAACTCACCTAAAAACATGAGCAGGGTAGTTTTGGCAAAGGCAGCCATGACCATTCCTCCAATGTAAGAAAATATCCCAATAAAGACAATATAAATGTCTTTGAGACATTTGGAAAATAAGTAAACTCCTAAAAAGCTGGTCAGCGAGACAGAAGTGAATGCAGCTGCTCCATATCCAATGTACACTTCACTCCAGCAGAGCGGCTCATCCAGTTCATATAGTGTAAAAAGTGAACTCCCACCAAACAGAGTAAATAAATAAGTCATAAATGTAAAAAGTAACACGATTATTAAAATTCTCTTTTTATAAGGGGCAGTTTTAAAAAGCATGTACACTCCAGAAAATGTCTCCCTAATAAGTTCTTTCCAGGATACTGATACTTCATGCTGGAGTTGAGATACGCCTACAGTATCTTCCAGAAAAAATATAATATAGATGATATTAATGACATGAAGCAGAGATGCTATCACAAATGTCCATGCAAAGCCTATTTCTCTTAGAAAGTAGCCAGATAATAGTCCTGCCAATCCAGATACAACTCCAAAAATCAAATCCACTATAGCTATTCGTGTTGTTTTCTGCTTCTCATCATGACACTCCTCTGCTATGTAAGCAAAGCCTCCTCCAAGGAAAGTTGCTAAACTCCCAAACAGTCCAGTAATAAATGCGACTGCAAATAGGACAGAGAGTGACAAGGAAAAATATGATATTGCAGTGAAGCTAATACCAGAAATCAAAGCTCCCATTGATGGTAAAACTAAAGACCTTTTGTGTCCCTGGCGATCCCCATTAGCTACAATGACAAAGGCAACTGTAAGGCTGGGAATGGCCCTAGTTAAGTCCAACTGCATATTAAAAACAGAGGCTTTTTCTTGAACTTCCTGCAAAGAGAAAATAAAAATAATTGTAAATACTATAATACATTGGAGAAAAAAAATCTGTAACAGTATTACATATATAATTATTAGTATGCAATATAATGAACGTTGCTGTACATGTTTATAGATTATAAATTATACTATTATAAGATATGATACATGCATTGTAGTTTTATAAGATTATATGACATTGTGATATACTAGGCTATAATAAAATTCATTGCATATTCAGACTTTTGTATATTCCTCAAACATTCCCTATTACATTTTAACCCAAAACTTAATGCATAAGACACAGTCTTACTAGTACTGTTGACAGAGAAGTTTCAATGCAGACAAGAGAACAATTCTTTTGAACATGCACTTACAAGAGCTGTAAGTATCTTTAACTGCAAGTATCTCCTTCAATATAGGTAGGGTAAAAGGAGACTGGGCTACTTTAATACTAATCAGAAATCAGTAGTAAGCCAGTCATTGATTAAGGAATACACTCCATGTTCCCTCCTCACAGGAGATCATTTTTCCTCCCAAATAATTCTACTGAGGGGGGTTACAAGAAACAATTTATGGACTAGAGCACATTATGCAAGTAAACAGATCGTGATTTGCTCTGACATCCCACTGTACAATCTTACTACTACAAACAATAGTAACAAGCAAAAATGTGAAATACAGCTTTAAATATTATACTGACTCACAGGTAAGTGAACTAATGGATTTTGCAAACAGCGTAAAGCTCTGGGTTCAGAAATAATCCAAATCAGTGATGTCTCTACAGATACAGCACAGCAGGTATTCACATAAGGAACAGCAGCTAACACTATAAAAATAAAACTCTAAACACCCATTATGGGGAAAATTTTAGAGTTCTTCTTAACAGAAGTATAAAAATCAAATGTAACTGAAAAACAACCATTTAACAGAGCATGAATGGCTGCAGAAAAAAAAAAAGAACTAAAGGATGTTTAATTAAAGAAAAAATAAAATTCTTATTAAGTCAGCTGCTTCATAACAAGGACACTCAGCAAGCTAATTCAGATCTTGTTTATAATACATGGGTGCAGACCTGACAAGAGAACAGCCACAACAGCCCTTTCAAAAACAACCACCTGATCAGACAGTAGGGGAAAAGGAAGCAACTTCATTTGTACAAACCCTTTATACTAGCTAAGATAAAGTTTCAGATGCAGAGAGTAAAGTCATGCTGAAAGTCTTCTTGGAGTTTTCTGAGGCATAACACTGACTTGGGCAGGCACTGTGCTCTTCAATCAGCAACAGGTACAGTTGTGTAATTCTGCCCACACCATTCTCAGCCTGTATTCACGCCATCTGTACTCCATGTTTCAGGCGTTTCCTCTGTAGCTAACATAATCCTGATTCAGTAGCATCCAAAATGATGAAAAATCCCTAAAACTTACAGGAATATACACTGGGCAATTTAAAAACCTGCTGAATGCTTTATAAATTCATACTTATATTTACAGGCAGACACCATGAGTTTCTAGTTCAATCTCTTCCTTTGCTTACAAGATACCAGGTTTTATCACAAGAGGAAAATTCAACTGATCCTGAGGTTCTCAAGGAAAGCCTTCAAGATCCCCAGTGCTCCATAGTCTTTTGTTCCCTTCCCTTATGGTGTCTGACTGCCTCAGCATTCATGACATCTTGTCCTCTGGGCAGCAGTGCTGTCACCCTGGAAGGGTCAAAACCATGAAGACTGGACAATCTGAGATGGAAAATGTTGTGCTGATCTTTAAGTCCTCTGATGCTGACAGAGAGAACTCTATATAGTTGCAGACACTGCTTCTTTACTAGGATTGTCTTGTTGAAAGACGTAAGCATCAAACAAATGCTACTACATTAAAAATAAATGTTAATATGTATCATCTCAACCCACATTAACCACATTAAAAAAAAGATTACTGCCAGACCATAACGAAGTGTAAAACTGAAAGAATGAAAAAATAACCAAAATGTGTTGTGTTCTTGTTTTGGAAGAAGTTGTGCAACACAAAAAACATGGCTACACATCCAGGTACCACATGTAACCATGAACTTCCTGAGATAAAAAACTTGATGTCTCCTGAAGACTACAGACAGGAAAAATCCATTTAGAGTGTAAGGCATGCAACTGCCCACTCTGTGGGTTTTATAAAGCCAAAGGAAAATAATATAGAAAATCATAGGTCAAACCTTCAGCTGCTTTAAAATCATGTAACTCCATTAAATAATCATATATTTGAAGAGAAAGGTCCAATTTTTTAATCTGCAAATTCACTATACTCTGAAAAATTACTCATGGTGGACAGAAATAGATATTAAAATCACCTATTTCAAAATTAAAAGAACGAAAATCAAGAAGCAAGTAACTTATATAAAGATTAAATTTAGAGAGAAGCTCAGCACCTGAGATTGAACAATATAAAGGATATGATAAACTCACAGGCTCATAAGATAAAATACTACTGAGTAGCAAGGGGAAATGAACTGATCAATGGGATGATAAACAATGTTTAATGATTAATAATACAGCTCTTTCTGAGATATTAAAAAAAGGATTATGCAAGTCAGTGATCAGAATGCTTCAGTTTATCTTCAACTTGCCTTTAAACTCACTTCATTATAAGACGACTACTTTTTTCAAATTGTAAAAACTAATTAATCTAAATTCTGCAAAGACTAACCATTTTGAATTATATTTCACCTTTTATGCAGGCTCCAAGTGATTTTTGTCTTCAATTTCCTTTTACATTTTGCCTTGAAATAGGTGAGATTAGTATAAAGCTTCTTCATTTTCAGAGCATAACGACTTACACCAAATTAACTGTTAAGAGAGATTTTCTTCTGAACATTAATGCCAAACAGGGCCTCACAGCAAAAGTTACATCTATAAACCTAATTCAGTTAGGAAGGTCTTGGAAAATCTGGAACACTTACTTCGCACTTACTCGTGAAAGGGTTTGGAATAAAGTTACTGGACCTGCTCTTTGGCCCATACACAGGACGATTACTCAGCCCAGAGGCCCACTTGCACTTAAATTAATGCGTGTTTTGAGCACTTAAATTGTTACGCTGTGGTAACTAATGTGGTGTAAAAATGCAGCAAGGCATCCAGACAAGAGTGTAATTGTTCAAAAGCTCATGCCCGACTGGCAATCACTGAAATGCAGAGAATGGAAATTTGGCAGGAAAGGAAAACTAAGAGGTTCTATTGGCCATTATTCAACTGCTGTCTTGAAGGACTCGTGTTCTCCAATATCAAATTAACTATAATTTGTAAACAAGAGACCTGTAAAGTGTGAATATGCCATCATATCAGAGATGCTATCAAAACTTCAGATGAAATTAAGAACTCTGCCTCAGTGTTTTGCAAAAAGAAATATGGAGTCTTATATCTTGAACCATAGGTGACAGCAATTTGAAAATCAGGTTGAATTTGAGTGGGTTGAAAAATGCAAAGATGTATTTGAAATACAGATTTCCTGATGGCTCTGCAATTAGAATTGTATGCTTAGAAAAAATGGCCAGACATAGCATCAAATGGGGAGCTAATACTAGAGAAAACACTTTTTGGAAGTAACATACAAGCATTATTCTGACAATAACTGGTAATTACCTCCATGGGTCAGCCCAGAAGCCATGTTGGGCCACAATTCTATTGACCTTTCTACTTTCACATTCTTTCTACTGAGACCAGCTTCTGTCACATGATAAAGAACATACACCACACTAGAAGTCCTGAATTATTTCTTTGATCACCTTCACTGGAAGCATGTACCATTAACGATCTCCTTTCATATATGACAAATAAGGCAGATAAGCTCAGGCAATCAGTGTTGCACATATGCAGCACAACAGAGATCCTAATTTGGGAAGTGAGTAAAAATTTTCAAGTACCACCTTTTCAGCAGTGTAAGGGAATGCTAGCTGACTACTTCTGTAACCCCAACTTCTGTGTAATTTATACGGTGAATCATTTACTTTTCTGACCCTACAGTCATCTTTCACTTTATCCAACCCAACTGCCAGTTGTTGTTGACAAGTATGGTTCTATTGCACCTCTCCTGAAAAAATGTTCCCTCTGCTATTCCCATGTTAGACACAGAAATCATGTGTCCACTGAGTGTGCCAGAGCAGTGTATTGCTTCAGAAAAGAAAACAACATTCAAAAAGCAACCACCCCAAAACAAGAGATGAGCTTTCTGTTGAATCAGTGCCCCACTCAAATCCAAACCATAACCTGTAAGTGCAGAACTGCAAGATACAACATATGGCGTGAGAGGGGAAAGGGAAATGGAGAATGACTATCTCTTCTCCTGGCAGCTCAGTTAGCTTTGCTTAAGTGTGGCATTAAAACTGCACTAGAAGTGCAATAGAAGAGGTACCAGGCAACAATTAGCTATCCAGCACACTGAACTATGGAAAAGTGCTAAAAATGTAACTGACCATGGGATCCTGTCATCCTGATGTCCTTGTATTCCAACAAGGCGGAATAGTACTCTGAATGGCAAACCATCAACTGTACTCGATCACGCAAATACCAGTCTTTTTTTTTTCCCCACGTTTTAAAAACACAAAAAAAATTACTTTCATTTCCCCTGTTCCTCGTTCTTCCAACTTCTTCTGAAATATATGTATTTTAAGCTAGATCCTATCTCTCAGAATTACAGGGCATTTGCTAAACTTCACATGGTTACAAAGAACAGTAGGAGCCACAGAGACAACGGGTGGCTCACAAACACAACAGGCACAATGGTCGTGGGAGGAGGAGCCTCCAGCCGTACCCGCGGTAATGTCAGCCCAATGCTAATTAGGTCCCCATTCTCTCAGACGGTTTTCAACTCCCGCTAAAATCCAGTATCTTCCCGGAGACAGATATTTGTCTTTAAAGCAATACCTACAGCATGACATTAGAGCGAGGAGACAGTGAAGTGAGGGTAGATTACAAAACTACGGCTTTCCGGAGAATTAAAGGTTAAGGTTATAAAACAGGAGGTTATACGGAGGCAGCACCTCCTGGATGCAAGTTTATTCACAATTATTATTCCTTCCCCGCCACTTGCCTTCTGTTTGATATAAGCCGGGCTGCTCTTATTCTGCTCGCAGCGAGTGACATTGTTGTCGCTCACGAAAGTGGAATTGTACTCCTGCTCCCACAGCCGCCGGTAGATGAACTGCTGCACCAGCGGGGTAGTCAGGAAAGACGCAAAAACGTAGATGAAAATGACGGGCTCCACGCACAGAACCTTCCTCATTTCTGGGTCTGGGCTTCAAACCCTGCGCCAGAAAACAAACCGCAAGTGCTGAAAGTGGCGGGCTCACGAGGGGAAAGCGAGACACCCGAGCGGCAGCCGGCAGCCCGAGGCACGGACGGGGCAGACGCTCCGCTGCCCCAGCCCCTGTCCCGGAGCGCAGCGGCCCCGGCTGCGCCCCGCCCCGCCCCGCCGGGCTGTCCCCTGCGCACCGGGCCCGTCCCGCAGTGCCGTGGCACCGGGAGGCGGGGCGGGGGCGGCCGTGTCCCTCAGCGGAGGAGTGTCCCCCGCCGCGCCGTCACCGCCCCCCGGCCGCGGCCGCCGGCAGGACAAGGCCCGGTGCCGCCATCTCGGCGCGGTGTTCCCGGCAGGGCCCGCGGGCGGGGCGCTGCGGCGGGCGGGGCCCGGTGTCCCTGTCTCGGCCCGCGGCGGAGCGGGGTCCCTGTGCCCGCGGTGTCACCGCCGCGGTGCTTGTCCTCCCGCCTGTGCCCGCGGTGTCACCGTCGCGGTGCTTGTCCCTATCCCTGTGCCCGCGGTGTCACCGCCGCGGTGCTTGTCCCCCCGCCGGGGACGCTCGGGGCTGCTGCCAGAGGTCATCAGCACCGTGGCGATTTCAGCACCGCGCCGCGTTCGGGCTGCTTACACAACCGGGATCTGCGTGATCACAGGCATCGCTGGCCTCGTTTAGCACCGCGAGCGCGGCCTGGAGCCCAGCCTGCACGGGGCGAGGTGGCCGTGCCTGGCCGGAGAGGAGCCCGAGGCGTGCTGCTCCTCCGTGCTGCCGTGCGCTCCGCTGGCAGCTGACACAGCTTAGAGGTTTTATTACAGCTGCTCCCCTTTCGTGTGCTCTCGGCTTGTCAGCGTGTGAAAAGGCAACATTCGTTAGCCACCAGCTGGTCTCTCATTAATAGAATCATAAAGTTGTGTAGGTTGGATAAGACCTCTAATATCATGAAGTCTAACTATTAACCCAGCACTGCCAGGAAGAGATAGATCTGTCTCTCTCTGAGTCTGGCATAGCTGCTGCCAGGTGTCAGGGGAAAGGCCTCGTGTCCTTGTTGGAACAGCTGCTGGGGCACCTGCTGCATTTCCACATGAAAGGTTGTGCTGGTGCGGACCCGCAGATGTGCAGTTTAGATACAGCCTCTTCCCACCGTGCCTTGTCACCAGTGCTGTGTACCAAGGAGAGGTGACATAGCTGGGGAGTCCCAAAGGACCACCTTTCAGTCTTAAATACTGGTTCTCCATTACAAGTACTGCAAGAAGTCTCTTTTGCCAAAAGCACATCAGAACTTCAGTTTCCCTGATGTATTTGCTCTATTAAAATAAAAAGGGCAGTTTAGAAACATAATGAAAATTGAGTTCCTTTATAAAGTGATTGAAGACAGATTATCTGTAACATGGGTCATATGATCTTGAGTAATGCTTTAACTTGTTCACTGCCATGTGACACATCATTCAGTCCCAAATTTAGGGACAACACTGGCTTGTCAAGTGTCTCTTAGTGTAGGATCAACCCAGCATACAAGCTCAGTGGCCTTGATGATTTGCTTGAGCTTCTTTGGTTTAGCATATAGGCTTGCTCACAGAGGCACACAGGCAGACTAAATCAAAAAAGTACTACTCTGGCATGAGATCAGTTTGTAGACAGTGGTGTCTTTCTCATCCTGTCCAAGTCCAAAGTCTGACTCATCCTGTGACAGCATTTTGTTTGTCACAAGGTAAAGCCAAAACAATCATGTGAGGCTGCTAGGTGAGAGGGGCTGTTTAGGTCACTCATCCAGCTGTTAACATTTATTTGAGCAGGGTGAAGAAGGGATTTTAAGCCTGTTGGAACTTTCTTTTGTTTCAAAAGGGAAACCCATTAGGTTTCTTGCCAGATCCAGCTGTGCTGAAGAGTGTGTCACTGACAAAGGAACACAAGTGTCTGAGTGCAGTCCAGGTTGCTGGCCAAACTTATTTTAACACACAACTCCTTCAGGACAGCCTTCCCAGTGCCAAAGAGTGGAGCTGTGCATTTGCATTCTGGAGAGGTCTTCTGCTTCTCTCCTTCCTAGTAACTGTGTTTAAGTTTGGGCTTGGGTTTACAGAGCCAAGTGGCTCCAGCAAAGCTGTGATCTCACCAGTGCTGCAGGCAAAGCTGCAGCCTGAGCTGATTGCCTCAAAGCACCTTTTTCACTTCGTGCAACAGCTCAAAGCCTGCTCATGGATATCTTCCGGTGCTGACACAACATATTCCCCTCAGGCAGGGGCATTGGAAGAGACTTGACCCTCATTTGTTTCCAGTCCCCCCGGCTGCAAGGGCAACTAAAAGCAATTCATATGATTGGACTTTTAAGATCAGACTAAGCCGGGTGATGCTTATTCTTTGAAGTTGAGCATTTCCAAATAACAGAATACATGACAAGCTACCTTCCTCTCTCTCCTGCAACCAGTATTCACACTGGCCCAAATTTGAGTGACATGCCCATGAACAGACTTCACAAAGATCACAGGCATGATGGCTGAAGCTCTGCAGTTTGCACGGGTTTGCATTTTATGACATCCTCAATGTGTGAAGAATTGAAGATACTTTTGATAAAAATTGAGATATTTTGGAGAAATGCTTTGCTGAAATATTTTGCTGAAAACATCAGTAGTGCTTTACTAAATAATATAAACATGCAAAATGTGGTTTTAATTGCCTTCTAAGAAGTTAAGTACTTTTTAAAATTGAGTTGGCTTTAAGTTACCGTGTTAACAATCTACTGAGAATCTTGGCCCTCTACATGTGATTTATGGATTACAGAGTAACATTACTGTACTGTTTGTACTAATGTTCAACTCATGTTTTCAAGGCTATCTTGAGAACAATGGTTAACACAAATTTTTAAAAGGAACCTAAAAAGGGAAGAGAAGAACATTTTTGGCAGATAGTCAGTTTTATTTACACAAAATGCAGTTCTGCAGAAACCTTTCATATGCTGTGTCATGCCCATGAGCAGGGCAAACAAAGATATATGAAGGAAGTTCTCCAAATTTTGGAGAAAGGAAAAGAGAGTAAGTCATGTAGTTCTGCAGAAGCATACGTAAGTTTAGATGTAACTGTAAAGGTGTGGGCAACAACGTGCTGCTGACTTTGTGTTCCTGAAAATGGGGTGCTCTGAACACCTCTGTCACAACACCAACACTACTGCTAACTGTAGGCTCCGTGCCATATGGCACTTTTTACTCAAGTCTTGTGTTGAAAATTTTTGCTTGTTTGAATCCTCAAGCATATATAAGGCATCAGGATATATTTAGTTTTTCTGAATAAGAATATCTTAACAGAACTGGTGCTCTTGTTGGCTTCTCGTCTCCCACACCACATAACAGCAGTTATTTCTAAATTGTATGGTTTATTCAGTGGTTTTGCTTTTCAGTTATTTACCTCTCATACTTGTGTATTTGCAAGTCCTCCTGATTATTTCACATCTCAGATTTAGATATTTCTATTGAAAGCCCTTCACACTGGTGGCTTTTCTGTTCAGATGACTCAGTGGAGAAGAATTTAGCAGCTCCCTTCGTGCTGTTCAGGTGCAGCTTGTGCATTCAGCAGTTGTGGTTTTGCCCAATCCTAAACAAATATACAAGAGCTACTAAATCTGCTGTGACCGGCTTTCAGATTACTTGAGGATTTGAAATGTATTTAATGCAGCTGCTTGGTTCTGTTTGAGGTGATTTCATTTTTTGTTTTTCTTCCTCTTTTGCTTTCAATCACATTTATGTACTAGGCATGTGATAGCTCTTCACTGTAGATAGCTGATGTAAGTTGTTTTCGTCTGACTGCATTGCTTAATACAGAATTTCTAGTGAGCCGTTTTACAGCTCCAGTTCAGCACCTTAGACGTGCTTTGGGGAACAGCTGGTGGTGCTGGTGAAGCCGTGCTGCTGCCACTCCCTGTCCCCTCCCTCCGGAGCTGTGCTTTGGGCGGTGATCAGCAGCAGCAGCGGCGCGCTGGGGACAGATATCCCCGGTTAGCGTGACACAGCACAGAGCTCCTCTCTTCCGTCCGTACTTCACCCGTTTGCAGAAGTGGACACAGGCATCCTTCTGCCTAAACACATCTTTTAACAGGAAACAGCGGCTTTCTTTAATTTTTAAAATTTCCATTTATTTAATGTAAACAGTTCCTAAACGAGGAACTGAAAGTAAGCAGCTGAGGCAGGGCTGGAGTGGCTGCCTCTGAGTCACATGCTGTTCTGTTGCGAGAAGCTATTAAATTTCATTTGCTAGAGCAAAGTTCTTTCCCCGTTTGCTAAATGAAAGTGCTTTTCATTCGTAGTGAGTTGTTGGGACTGGTCGGCTGCATTCCCTTTTCAGAGATAAGGACTCGTCGACTACCACTGCCCTTACGAGAAGCAGCAACTTTTTGAGGAGCTTCACAAAGACCAATAAGCAGAATGCAGTGTGTTTAGGATACAAGTATTTGAGCTGAGTGAGTATCATCAGGAAGGTGGTGACAGATGACAAGCTGTTCTCATCTTTCAAAGTCAGTGCGAGATTTCCTGCTGTTCTCCCAGAGACTGTGCATCAGGTTTGAGCCTGAGCAGTCCAGCTGAACTCTTGAGATCAGTGAAAAAGTCTTTATCATTTGAAGGAGTTTGAATTAGGGTGAGTGAGACTGTGTCTGTACCACAGACAGGGATTTTATGTGCTTTTTCTTTTAGATTCTCAGGTGAGAAAGAAAATTATCTCAAAGGTGAACCTCTGAGAGGTTTCAGAGGAAGCAGAACTTTAGTCTGCTTAGCTGTGGTTTAGGTGGTAATGACGTTTTTCCTCCACCAATTGACCACCAAAACTATTCTTGACATTCAAAGCAGCAGGAGACACAGTTATCAGTCCTTACTCCTATCCATCTGAAAATACCCAAATATACCCTTTCCCAGATTTTCCAAACATGTGCCCAGATCTGTTCAGAAAAATCAGCAAAGTGATGTTCAATATGTCCTGTTTCTTTTACTGAAAGAATTCCTTCCCTGGCGTGATTCTGCTGTATATTCGTGCACATAAACATCACTAGGTATTTATCCAAATTACTCCCTTTTTCTTTTTTTTTTTTTTTTTAATAGTTGCAGGGGCAGTAGGTCTC